AAATCGTGGATGCGCACTGCTGAGGAGTCTCCTACTAGGACGAAACAGCCGTCCATTGCTTCCAGATTTCCAATGGCGGTCTAGTTTGGGTTAACTCGTGAATTCAGTTGATAAAAACTACAGTCTCCACAAGACCCTATATTGAATAATTGTTTAATAAAGATTGGAGATGGTACAACATCATTTATCTAACAGAAATCTTAAGCAAACTAGTATATGTAAATCAATCGGTTTAAGAGAAACTTTAGATGGAATATTTGGCATTGTCAGTGAAGGTAACAGTTATGATGGAAACCAGTATTCACTGAATCTGTGAAATATAATCTTTTTAGCATATTACTTTTAGAAGTGATGGATCCACAAAACAACGCGTAAAACCTATATCGCTTTTGTAATTTATTTTCAGTGAATTTAAATTTAGCGTTTTTCGTGTCGAAATTTGACTTAGTATGAAGAAAGTTTTTTTGAAACACACATTAACGTCTATTTTCCTGTGATATTGACAGCATTCATTGCCATCGTCTGTAAATCCACACAGTGCATTGAAGTTGGGGGAGGGTTTAATGAGAACCAAACTCAACATCTGATAATTTCGGGTAGTATATAACCTATTTTTATAGCCATGTTGCTTCGGTTATGTACTTGTCGGTTCATTTGTATCCATGATTCTACTGCTTATGCTTAGGAAACAGGAACCACTGGAACTCCCACGACGCAATGTAAGAACACAAATACTGATATAAATGAAGATTTATCAACTCTGTGAAAAGACATCCCCCCCCCAAAAAAAAACAAGTCATCCGTAACCACATCATTAACAAACCTAATATGCCCATTTATGCACTGGTTTTACACACGCTTAAGCCTAATGACTAGTTAATAAGCATCATATAAATGGAGAAAAAAGTGTTACTGTAAAGTGCATGTGAAGTTCACAATGATTAATACAAAGAATATAACTGTCGTATTGAACAAAATTCACACTTCATATAACATGCTGACCTGAAACAATCTTATTACTGGATATCGTAAAGAAGGAATAAAACCAATATCAATATTTTACTTTATAGGAAGAAAACGAATGTCTTAACGTGTTTCATTGAGTTAAAGAGAACATGAACTCGTCTTCCTATTATCAACTTATCACACAGCATACATACATCTACCTATTTAGGGGTTTCGAATACTATTAGTTTCTATGATTGATTTTTTGATTTAATTTGTGTAGGATTTATCATCGTGTTCAAATTGCTGAACTAGAGCTTATACGAAGGTATATTTAAAACAAGTACAAATTATTCTTGAATACAATTATATGAACGAAGAATATTCTTTTCAATAATTTCTTATCAGGTTCTACAGTTATATATCCAAATTAATAATCCATAAAATTAGTCATGTTTAAGATAAGGTGCATCTGGGACTTAAGGTTTTCTGTTAATTCATCAACTGCAAATCTGCGAACGTTGTTTACTTCTATCTCCGCCAACTAGACAGGTAGTCGCAGAATTTTTTAAAGACTTACAGAACTACTCTGAACCCAACTGTCCCAAGTGGGAAGTCCCCTGCTGAAGTCATGTTTGGAAGACATATTCGGACTATTCTCAACGCCATGTTACCACCCAAAATGGTGGATGGGCACAGAGCGAGTTCTAATGCTGGCGATAAAGTGTTTGTTAAGTCCCACCTCGGAGAGAATCAACGGGAACAGACAGAAATCATACAAAGATTGGGAAGAGTTTTGTATAGAGTCCGAGGAGCTTTTGGGACATGTATCAGGCAAACGAACCAAAGCCATCAAGATTGAAAAATGATGCACACCCAAGATAACCAGGTGAGTCTTCCACAAGAGTTAATCTCAGATACATCAACGACATATACGCCCAAGAATACTGAAAAGAAGACTTGGACAAGAAAGACAGTGAAAAAATGAAACATCACCAAAAACCGGCTGCCAGGTTACAAGTGGACCCAAGGAGGAAATCTTATTTGGGGAGGTGTTGGGACGGCTTCCGAGAATTAAGACGGAGCTACCAGAGGCCCTAAAGGAGCTGAAGAGTTTCCATCTAATCAAAACGTGATGAAGCCTTTTAGAATATCAAAGTGGCATGCTACAATCGAACAATAGTATAACTTGTCTCCTTGCGGATTGGCTGAATTATAATGATGTTATAACAAACATTATGTAATGATAGAGAAAACTATCTATGGCTGGGTGCTATGAAAGTAAAAACCATCATCTTTATTCCTGATCGATAATTAATGACTAGGTAGCTGTTGCATTTTGAAAAACCTTATTAGTTTACAATTTCTTAATCCAGTTCGATCAATAAATTATTATTACTGTTGTTTAAGGATTAAAGACTCCGTTTAGTGGGAGGTCACATCATCTGCATTCGTGTGTGTGTCAAACTAGGGGTCATATATCAGCAGTCATTTAAGTGACCAGGCAAAGTTTCACTAAATGGAAAATCTTTCAAAGTAATTCATTTTTCTTTTTGTCTAATCAGCTTAGTGGATAGTTATACTTGTGAGCATTTCAAAAACATGACTTACATCCAGTCATGAAGAAAGACTTGCTCTTGACTCAAAACTTCTGATTACTATTATGCAACTGATAAAGTGATCTGAAGAGACTATGAAGGGATATATTTCATAGGTTAACACCGTCAGCGAAAATAGTGGAGTAAAATGTTACGGAAATTCTGTGCTATTAACTTCAGAAATTCATGCAAACACGATGGGGAAAAAGTAGATTTCTACTCTGAAGAGTAGATACAACTTTCCTACTGTTGAAAACATTATTAATACTTTGCTGTTCATTAGATGTTAGAAGTATCAAATTGTAAACTTCTAATTGTTTATTGAGACAGGAAATCACCAATGATTACTTTTAAAATGAAAGTAAACAGTTGATTGACCACTCAGTATTCACTATAGGAGGTCAACTGAAGTCTTAATGCCTCAATGGCAACTTCTAAAATTGTGTGACCCGAGTTCGAGATCATCAAGTAACATCAGCCACCTCCAGATTGCAGGTATATCTTACTGGCGGTTGCAAACCAGCACGAAATTTGGCTTGTTCCAACTAACTCCAACCATTGAATGATGTAAACACACTACATCTTGTAAAATCTGACAGTGATAACCACTTCAAACCTACTTAACATTATATAAAACAATCTATTAATCATTCAACTAAAACTATAACATGATCCACCCATATTTTACATCTTAATTGTAGTCGTAATAGAGAATTTTCACTTATTTTATCACATAACTTACGTTTCATTTCATGTTTGCAGTTTATAAAGCGCTGAATGACAAATAAAATAGAAGCGAATATTGATTCTGCAATATTTACCGAGAACTTAAACTATAAGCAGCAAATACAAACTTTTCTAAGTGGATTGAAATAAAGTCAGTTAATCATGAAATCGCAGACATATCAATAGGTATCACTCTCAAAAGTAACTTCGAAGAAATTAATTCCTTAGTAATGATTATAAAGTATCATCTTTTAAGTTATATAGGATTGATACTCTTAGAAATCTAAACGGAGATATTCATATACACTGGACTAAGAGGAGAAATAATAATATTAAACATACAGAATATGATCCGAAAAAAAGAACGATGAGCATGAGTGGTATGAAAGATTACCATATTTAGAATAGGACAAACAATCAAAACGGATAAAGTATCTTCGTTAACTTCGAAGACGATCCATCTATGCTTCCCTCAAATAGAAAGTCTGTATTTCATGAAATACATATATTCAAGCCAACAGTAAATCACTTCATAAAAAGAGCAACAGTGAACAGGAATTAGTGTATGCGAGTGAAATAATAAATAATAACAAAATAAGTAACTCAGAAAAAATGCAACCAGGAAGAATTCTTTCAATTAAAGACGTTACGATCACTGATGAAAAAAGTTATATCCAGATCGCCACTGGCTTCTATTCCAAGCCATTTCTAATGGCATCACAAGCCACTGTGGTGTAGCACCTCAAAAAGTGAGTCGTGAAGGTCATGCAGATGCCATATTTCTTCAGCATTCTTTCATCGTATAACACCATGTAATACACTGACCACCTACCAATTTTTTCGAACAAGTCCAAGCATCCGCAAATAGTAAACAATGCGGAGTTCGTTGGCACTACATTCGCAGTACGTGTTTAAGCCACCGAAGTCGATGTTTCAAGATAGTGACACCAACTGAATTACCGTCGCTGCCGTGAACACACGTTATCGAACCTCCCCACTACTAACATGGCGTCGACATTGAAGGTCAACAATTCCTCAGAAAAAACGATGGTCTAACACAGAGTCGACTAACATTCTCAACTCGGAGAGGCCAGGGTTCACAAGTATACAACAAAACTCCTCTAACTAACACGTTGTACACCCGAACTTTCACAGCCAGACTAACATCACAAAGGAATCAAAGATGATCCAGATTGACACAAGCCACTCTGACTTTCACCATAAATTAGACCATCTCATCACTCACGCCACCGCCAGCATTCAAGCAGCTACTCAGATGCACGATCATTTCGACTACAAAAGTAATTAGGTTTTATTTTTTTTTAAATAATCAGTTGTTCGACAAATTTGAGCAATCACAATACGTGGTTGTATGGCTATAAAGTTAGAAGTCGATCAATTCAACAGGTAGATTACAGCTTTATCATTTATTACATCTACATTTCAGGTAAATATCATTATTTGTTCATTTATAAAGCATAAAATGTAATATAGATACATATATGCATATATAACAATCATTGGGAATAGTTACAGTATTCTCTCTCTCTCTCTCTCTCTCTCTCTGGAAAGTGGAAGGAGTAAAGGGTGAAAGTATAACGAGTAAATAAATTCAATTTAGAAAATGATAGAAGAATAACTAAAATAATACACCAATTGTAACAAGAAGCAAGAAAGAAAACTCAATGAAGGATTGGAATTTTTTGTAAATGAGCTGATAAGTTTGAAGAAAATAAATGTGTGTAAAGTATCGATTAAATGGACAAAAACGAAATAAAATCAATAAGATGTACAATGATTAATGGAACAATTATACATGAATTTCAGGTGATGTTGAAGAACCTAACTGTGGCAAAAGAGTTGTTGATTTTGATGTTACTGATGGGGTTTTTGGAGGTTTCATTTTACCAGCTAATACTGCTATCACTTCATCTTTGGTCAATGTTTCAAAATGAAGTAATGCTTCAGCTAGAAGTCTATGTTGTTTACTTTGATTAGATAGTAAAGTACGTACACGAGTTAAAGAATCATTGAGTAATTGGTCAACTTCTTTATCGATCAGGTCACGTGTAGCTTGACCAATCTGGTCATCCTGAGTATCTGGTATAACTCTTGGTCCAATTTTACTTGAAAAACCGAAACGTTTAACCATATTTTGAGCTAAAACTGTTGCTTTCTATTGAAGGTAAAAAAAACAAATTTGTTGAGATAATTCAACCAGATAATGAATAAGGGAAGGTAATTAAATTTGCGAAGTAGAAATAAACCTGCGAATGGAGTGTGAATATGAATGGAATTTTCATGGTAAAATAGGTGTTAGGCTAGTATGGAACTCCTGAACATTTTTCATCTATGATCCCACTGAAAAGTGAAACTAGGACCTTCAGGTCTTGAATGAGAGTTTGAAATTTATATTGTCGAGTTAGCATCCAGTGGCCTATGCTTCTAACTTCAATCGATTTACGACATTGCACAACCGTCATCTTATGTCGTAAATCCTACATGATTGAACTCGACTGGTTACGTCTTCTTCCCAGAATTTCGGGAATCCCCTCTTGGAGTTATTGATTAAGGAACATACAATTATTAGTAATAAAAGTTTGTAGGGTTAGTCTAATCTAAACGTGAACATGATAGACTGGCTTAAGCTACGGAATTACTGATGATCACGAAACAATGAAAGTCTGTCCTTTTCTTGTATGGTTCCCAATGGTATTGCCGATAATGACATGAAAATCGCGCAATATAGTGAATCAACTGAAGCTACAAATGTGAACCCATTGGGAATATCTCTAAAGTTTTCAATAAAAACTTGGATTAAAACTTTAAGTAAAATCTAGGACTCCCCAATTATGCATTTGATAATGTTTTGGACAGTCAAATTAATTTAAATTGGGAACTTATAATTAAAATAAAAAGGCCCTTATTTCAATAGAAATGATCTCCATGCAATTACTTACTCGAAAATCATCTGCTGCACCAGTGGTAACTTTGTCTGCACCAAAAACTAATTCTTCGCCAACTCGACCACCCATCAATACATCTAATTGAGCTAATAATTGTGCACGAGTCATAAAACTAATATCTTTCTCTTGTAGAAAACTAGTAAGACCACCTGCCTCACCTCGAGGAATAATTGTAACCTAAATTAAAAATAAAATACAATATGGATAAAATATCCAGAGAAGAAACAAAATAGGAGAGACATAGTATGGTCATTTATACAGTGTATGAATTGCCTCCAAATCACAGAAAATGGGGATTAATTCAGATTGAAATGGTTTGGAATCTCCCCTTTATTTTTTTGGACTGAAATTCGATTACTCTTGATTGGCATATGCGCATCCTGTGTGTATTGCTTCAATATAGCCTAGATAAGTGATATGGCTCAGAATCGAACACAATGGTGTAGGTGTATATAAACTCTTTATCTCTCCTTAAACCGTGAGATTAAAATTGCTTTATACCTTTCTTTCTACGAACTAACTCGTTCTTCCTGTATTATATCCTTGTAGACAATCTTCCTTTTGTATATTACTACCATTGAAGTAACGAATTCTATGGATCTGGTGTTCATTTTGTTGTGCTAATGAGGTGTGGCGACTTGGACCAATGGATATATGTGCCTGGTCCTACGTTGTAGCTGACTGAATGACTGAGCAACTATCTTTTGGCGAATTCACCCTTAAAGCTGTACAGAATTGTACGGGTAATCACACAAAAACGGCAAATGCTTACATATGTATATAGGTTTATGACTCACGTTGGAATGTGAATTATATTTTTAAGGTTTATAAAAGCAGATACTATCATAAATATCAAAGCAAATAGCCGAAAAAAATGTGTTCAGATTGGTTGTGTAATAGTTGAGATAGTGCAATGAACAAGGTTGGTTTTAATCAGGGTAGGGTCGTGGAGATTGTTGAGTTTAACTGAGATCCTGAACCAACTAACGTTAGACCACCATTGAAAACCTGGAAGCACTAAACGGCCGTTTCAATCAAGTATGGGACTCGGCAGTTAGCATAAATGATCCCGCACTGCAATGGTGATCTAACGTTAGTCGGTTTACGATCTCAGTGAAAGGTTGACTTTCCTCTATAACGACAAGGTAGAATAAAAACTAATCACGTTCAAATAAAATATTAACCTACATACTTTGTGTAGTGGTATACTTTCCGCAGTCAACAATGCTACTAAAGCATGACCAGCCTCATGAAATGCTGACACTCGATTAGTTTGATCATCCAACGGACGACGTTTAGCCGGTCCCATTATTAGTCGATCACGAGCATCCCACAAATGATGCATTTCAACAAAAGGATCATTACGTAGTGCAGCGGCAATAGCAGCCTGAAATAAATTGGATTTGTACAAAATGTATTTTATGAAATGAAATGAGGAAAACAGTTGTTGGCTCAGTAGAAAAGTTGTAAATAGTTATAAAATTGCAATAAACTGAAATCATGAAAAAACGTAGGATGACTAGTAAGCAGGGCATCTCAAAACCATAGGTAAGTTCTTCAAAAGTAACAGTAAAAACAAAGTCAACAAAAGTTAAGATAACGAAAGTTCGAATAGAATATGACTATATAGTTCTTTGAAGTGAACAGTTTACATACGAAATTTTAGACTATGTAAAGTGATGTAGGCTCAGAATCATTTGTAATGGACTAGATGCATTCACTCATTGTCTTCCCTTAGACCCCAAATTTCTAAATTATCTAGTAAGTTCTTACTGCATGAATCCATATTTTCTCCTAAAATTACATATCTCTTATCCCTAATCTTTTCTACTACTACTGATTCTGTTACTGCTTATACCATTCTGGGATCTCGCTGTGCGGATGTGGTGTGGTGACGTGAACCGATGCACATATGTGCCAGGTTCTATGTGTGCACATGATTGACTGACAGACCACAAAAAACTGATCTTCAAAAACGTAAGTGAAATTATATCCACCTAATTAATCGGTTTCGTCGGCATGCGTTAGATTCAGTGAAATGGTGCAGGTGCTCGGATTACCATCATCAGTTTCAACATGCTTTGCTTTACTTTTACTTAAACATATTAACATTCGTACAAGGAGGCACCAAATACATATGCGCTACATAAATCATTCGATTTATGAGAGGGCTAGCATACTGCTTACTTAGTAACTAAGTAAGTAAGTAACTAAGTAAGTAAGTAAGTAAGTAAGTAAGTAAGTAAGTAAGTAAGTAAGTAAGTAAGTAAGTAAGTAAGTAAGTAAGTAAGTAAGTAAGTAAGTAAGTAAGTAAGTAAGTAAGTAAGTAAGTAAGTAAGTAAGTAAGTAAGTAAGTAAGTAAGTAAGTAAGTAAGTAAGTAAGTAAGTAAGTAAGTAGTAAGTAAGTAAGTAAGTAAGTAAGTAAGTAAGTAAGTAAGTAAGTAAGTAAGTAAGTAAGTAAGTAAGTAAGTAGTAAGTAAGTAAGTAAGTAAGTAAGTAAGTAAGTAAGTAAGTAAGTAAGTAAGTAAGTAAGTAAGTAAGTAAGTAAGTAAGTAAGTAAGTAAGTAAGTAAGTAAGTAAGTAAGTAAGTAAGTAAGTAAGTAAGTAAGTAAGTAAGTAAGTAAGTAAGTAAGTAAGTAAGTAAGTAAGTAAGTAAGTAAGTAAGTAAGTAAGTAAGTAAGTAAGTAAGTAAGTAAGTAAGTAAGTAAGTAAGTAAGTAAGTAAGTAAGTAAGTAAGTAAGTAAGTAAGTAAGTAAGTAAGTAAGTAAGTAAGTAAGTAAGTAAGTAAGTAAGTAAGTAAGTAAGTAAGTAAGTAAGTAAGTAAGTAAGTAAGTAAGTAAGTAAGTAAGTAAGTAAGTAAGTAAGTAAGTAAGTAAGTAAGTAAGTAAGTAAGTAAGTAAGTAAGTAAGTAAGTAAGTAAGTAAGTAAGTAAGTAAGTAAGTAAGTAAGTAAGTAAGTAAGTAAGTAAGTAAGTAAGTAAGTAAGTAAGTAAGTAAGTAAGTAAGTAAGTAAGTAAGTAAGTAAGTAAGTAAGTAAGTAAGTAAGTAAGTAAGTAAGTAAGTAAGTAAGTAAGTAAGTAAGTAAGTAAGTAAGTAAGTAAGTAAGTAAGTAAGTAAGTAAGTAAGTAAGTAAGTAAGTAAGTAAGTAAGTAAGTAAGTAAGTAAGTAAGTAAGTAAGTAAGTAAGTAAGTAAGTAAGTAAGTAAGTAAGTAAGTAAGTAAGTAAGTAAGTAAGTAAGTAAGTAAGTAAGTAAGTAAGTAAGTAAGTAAGTAAGTAAGTAAGTAAGTAAGTAAGTAAGTAAGTAGCATACTGCCCGGATGCCCAAAGAGAAGCAGGTGGTTTTCTTAGGGAGCCACACCTAGAGCCTTCGATCTAAAAGTTTGATCTACAATGCAGTGGAGCATCGTGAGGAGATGCAGTGCCATGGTAGCCGGTCACCAACGATTATTTCATACGCCATTTGTTCCTTCAGGATACTGCAGTCCATGTGCACCATTGTTTTGGAATGAGGGTTTTCCAACTCCTCTAGGTGGACTGTCCGTGTCCACTAGCCCGGTTAAAGCGTCGGACATTCGCTTTTCGTCCTCTTAATTTCTTAAACAATAGTAATGCCGCGAGAAGGCAGTGAGTAGGACTTCCCTGTCAGTGGTTGTACGCACGTGGCCATGTGAGAGCATTTGGAGAGGGAGAGCGGACTCTCCCCACTCTCGGCCGTACCAAGGCATTTGAAGGCCCTGCTTTGCCTACATCGATCTCGAAAGCATTGTAGTTCTCATTCAGTGTTATAGACGATCTACAGTTTGTTGAAGTGTGGGTTGATGTTATCAAGAAAGACAATTAAAACTTTCAAAATTCTCATCTTGAGTTACATATACTCTCCAGCATCTTAAAATTTCTAGTCTAGCCTGGTAAATTAGTCTGAATACCTGGTCCATCAGGTTAATTTAGGAGTATTTCACACCCGTCGGTGAGAGAAGCAAGCAGCAACAGCCTCTATGACAGTAGGCCTCAACATACACAAAGTAAAAAGCAAGGTCCTGAAGTACAACGCGGAGAACACCAAACGAATCACGGTTGATGGAGAAGCTCTGGAAGAGGTGGAAAGTTTTACGTACCTAGGCAGCATCATTGATAAACAAGGACGACCTGGCACAAATGGGAATAAAGTTAGTTCAGAGACTAGCTCAAGCGTTTAATTTGCGATTCCCACTTAATAGATTAGAGGTTAGAACCTATTCCCTTAATTTCGATTTGGAGATTCATGTAAAATGATCACTTGCCTAGTACACAAGCCTATAGAGGACACTTCAAATCCCAATAAAATAAAATGTTTAGGTTATCACCATCAACACAGAAAAACTTACTTGATTAACCAAATTTTGTATATCCGCACCAGTGTATCCAACTGTTCCATGGGCCAACTTTTCTACATCAATATTTGAGCCTGCTTTTACTTTTTTTAAGTAAAGATTTAGAAGAGCTATTCTGCCCTACAATAAAAAAGGATGGATAATAACAATGATAGCGTTTGCTGTGGTGGCACAAGCAGCTAATCACCTACCTATTCATACATTAGGCTACGGTAAACCCAAACGACTTTGTTCACAGTAACTTAATGATAGTAGCTAATGAAGTGACAGTCAAAATTAATTTACCGACGTAGTTTTTATTCGTCTTAATGAACAAATTACAACCAGAATCTCAAAAACAAAGAGAATATCATTTGTCTGAAATGTCAAATTAGAACTTTCCTCCAAAACTAATAATTACTGATGATGGAAACCTAGAATGAAAACATAAATATCTCTTCCTATCATAATTTATTCACTATGTTATGACAGATTGAGAATAATTTGCAACTAATATAAAGATAGACAGAGTGGTGTAAAACGACACATCATCAAGGAAAGTTTTATTATGGATTGTTAGATTCTGGTGCGCTATTATTAACTCCATTCATTAATTTGAGGATATTGTTTGGCGTGCAAATATATCAGATTTCTGACAGGCCTGTGATAGCTAATAAGAAATTGTCATCGACAAATGTGGTAGATGTGTTAGCCAATTAACTTCACTTTTTAGAATTTATGCAAACTACTACAGTCCTATTCTAAAAAGTTGCACTAATTAACTTGAGATCAATTATTTGATTTGTAAAAAAAGGATTAACTAAAAAAACTTAATAATAATACTATCATGCAACACATTTCTGGGGTTGTTTTAATCATTATATCTATTTTTCATAGTTGAAGTTTGAAAAATGTTTGATGTAAAGTTAAAATTGTTACTAAGACTTGCTCATCTAACAGTAAAGATTAGATGTTGGTGGAATAACCTGTTTTAAAGTTATTACTGAAGTTGTGCTATTCAATAGTCAGTGTTTATTGAAGTTTTTTAGGCAAAAGATAGTATTTTGTTTATGCATAATGACGCTTTTTCGCAACTACATTCTTAGATATAAAACATCATGGCACTATTGTGTTGAAGCCTTTTGTACTCGTTATTTCGTTTGATAGTAATAATCGCTTACCACTCAATACATGCTAGGTTATTTTTATCGCTGTATTCTATCATAAGAGTAGAAGTTTGTGCTGTTTAAATGATATCAACATTAACATGGAAATAGGTGTATCAAACTGGTCTAATATTTACTAACTTCATAAGTTGGTGGTGATACATGAATTTGGACATCAAAACGACCAGGTCTCAATAAAGCTTTGTCTAAGACTTCTGCTTGATTTGTTGCACCTAAAACAATAATTCCTTCTCTTGACTGGAACCCATCCATTTCTGCGAGAAGCTGGTTAATTGTCTGGTTCGCAAAAGGATGATGAGAAGAATATGTCCGATTTCCCCCGACAGAATCTATTTCATCAATAAATACTAAACATGGTGCATTCTGTTTGGCAGTGGTGAAAAGTTGTCGAATACGAGAAGCTCCTAGTCCAACGAGGACTTCGTCGAAACTACTCCCAGAAGCATATAAGAAAGGAACCTATATAAAAGATAAATTCAGATTTTAAGCATCTCAAGTAATCGGTAAAACTTTCTCATTCTTATTCACGCCCTCTCCGCTCTAAGCGTGAAAGAACGATGTACTAATGATTGTCTGATTTGTAAAATCAAACAAAGAGATACGTGGAGAATAAACGGCTTAGCACAAGCATGTATCGGTTCAAGTTCCCACACTTCATATGAGCACACCAAGGAAACATGAAGAAAAAAAGTGATGAAAACAACTACAGTAGTAAAAGTAAATGGAATATAACAGAACTCACCAAAACAAAAAAAGACATATATCGAACAACATTATGTCGAAGATTGCGAGAAGCGACGTATTAGTGCCATCGCAACCTAATTCAGACCGTTCGACATAATTTTCGGTCGTTGCTTAGGGTTGTTTTTCTGTCAGATAACAACTTAGTTGTAATTCACTATTGGTGAAAGGAATCAACAAGGAACTATTCATTTTTCTAGAGTTTTGTTACTTTTGTGTGTCAGGCATGAAAATCATGCTTTCAGTCAGACACAGATTCTGCCAATCTGTCTACTTAGGAAGCCGAACATATTTTTCGCACGAAGTATCTCACGGATCTGCACTGCTCCGTATGGTTACTGAACTTAATTACAATAAGGACGACGGGCTGCGAAAGCCCATTGGTAAGGCTGAGGGTGGGGAGATTCCGTTTTCCCTCTCAGAGTACTTTCATATGGCCACTGCCAGGGAAGTCCTACTGAATGCTTCCTCGCAGCAGGGTGTTGGTTACGACATTGAGAAGACGGAAAGTGAATACCCAGCGCTTAAATCGGATTAGTGGGTAAGAGGGATCCACCTAAGGTAGTTAGAAAACCTTGATTCCAAACCAGTGGTGCACATGGGCTCAAAGATCTGAGAGAACAGAAAGACTATGAACCTATTATTGGTCACCAGCTATCATTGGACCGCATCTCCGAGTGTTGCTTTGCTGACTTGGGGATTAGACCTTTAGGTCAAAGGCTCGGGGAGTTGGTTTCCAAGAAAACCACCCGCACCTCGGTAGTATCCTAGTCCACACAAAACGGATGACTAAAACTAGAAAGAATTGTTCCCACTTCAATTACCACTCTCACAAATTCTACTAACTGTTATTCGGTACCATATTTTTATTTATATTGCGTTACTTGTTTATTCCCGCTGTATTCTTTTATGTTCCAACGTATAAAGCAGCTTACCTGTGTTGGGAATCTTGTCCTAGCTGGACGATCTGGAGTCGCTGAATGTTCAAAAGTTGAATACTATAACCGAATATGAATTATGAATCAGCCACTCTGAAGCCAGATGTGTCATTCGAACTGCCCTCGGACGTTCGCACACTAATGCAGATCGAACGACAGATAGGACTGGTAATATCAAGAGAAATTCCTATTATCTACGTCTGTTGTTTATTCAAGACTTTAGTGAAGTGCTATAAATTCGCTCTTAGTCTATCCTTTCAAAATATTTACCCTCAATTGCGTCCACATTACTGGCTACAGTTATACGTTGGAGGTTTCTCAAAAACAGGGAAAATGAATCGCGGGGAGCAGGCTGATTTTTGTTGTGGTTCAGGATGTATTGATCATTTATTTACACTCCCAAAAATGCTGGAACACCGCCATCCCTATGGCAGTCCAATAAATGTGTTTCTTAATAACAGGGCCATTTTCAATTCGTTCGACAAGACGGTTATTTGTGATTGTTTGAAGGGCGTGTCCGAGAAGTTTACCAACATCTTGAAGGTTCTATATACAAACACCTTAGGTAGATTGAGGGCACACAGCCACTTCTTTCCATTGTTCCATTCGAGCAGTAGGGTTCGATAGGATTGCCTAGTTTCACCATTCCTCTTCAACTTTGCCATCGATGACGTTCCGGAGACGGATCTGATGGATGTAAGTAGTGGTGTGGATCTGTTACGTGTGGAAAGACTTTCCGACCCTGAGTATGCGAACGATATTGTCTTACTGTGTGATGATACCGAAGTCATGCAATCTGCACTTAATCAGTCGACAATCAGTGTCTGTGGGCATGGCACGTGCTATACACCCAAGGGCAAGGTAATTTTACAAGACTAACAGGAGCCTGAACCTGCACTCAATTTCGGTAGTAAGCAGATGGAGGTAGTCGAGATGACCGTGCATCTGAGTAGCTGCTTGAATGCTGGCGGTGGCGTGAGTGATGAGAGTGGCCTGTGTCAATCTCGGTCATATTTGGTTTCTTTGTGATGTTAGTCTGGCTGTGAAAGTTCGGGCGTACAACGTGTTAGTTAGAGGAGTTTTGTTGTATGCTTGTGAACCCTGGCCTCTCCGAGTTGAGAATGTTAGTCGACTCTGTGTTAGACCATCGTTTTTTCTGAGGAATTGTTGACCTTCAATGACAACATCATGTTAGTAATGAGGAGGTTCGACGTGTGTTATAATATTTATTTGTTTGGTCAGTTGCCTATCTATCTGCTGGTTGTATTTCATTATTATATTGAGATACACTGACTAGCTGACACTCAGTTTGTTTCCATTTCAGTACAATGTGGATTAGACCCTAGATTTATTTCACTACGATACAATTGCTGAATGTTCTATATTCATTTATTATTTATATTGGTACAAGGAGGCACCAAATAGATATGCACCACATAAATCACTAGATTTGTGTGAGGGCTGGGATACTGCCCGGGTGCCCAAACCAACACTACTATTATGTCCGTCCAGTTGCATCTATACAATCCGACTATACTTTAATTGACATAAACATTCAAGAACATCCGTATTCTAGTTCGTACTTAGTTCATTTACCCTCAGCTATGGATTATTAAGAAAGTGAATATAACTGGTAAATGTGTTACATTACATAAAAAAAATCAATGTAACAGTGCTTGCCCTTGTTTACAATCAAACTGTTTCGACTGACTGCGCAATACACTATCCTAGTTACACCTGTATTAGTCTTAATTTCACTATCTATCGAGCATTTAAGAAACTCTAGGAAAAGATAAATTTGGGATGTGGTATCATTGTTGACAAAAGTTCCGGAAGCTAGTCGCCCGGTCAATATACCCTAAACTTTTGTGTCTGTTTGATGATATCTCAATCACAGTTGGTACCAAATGATAATATAACCAGTTGTACGGTTAAATGTTTTGGATAGGAAGTAAGCTGATATTTTAGTCACTAAACTATACTCTTATTTGTAGGAAAGTAAATAGAGATAAATGTAAAGAGGTGAAACATTTAGAGTAGTGTCTATGATATTGACAATCCTTGTTTTAACATACTTGAGCTTCTCCAGACACCGCTTTAGCGAGTAAGGTTTTACCAACTCCAGGAGGACCCACAAGGAGAACACCTTTAGGGAGTTTAGCTCCAATGTGATTGAACTTTTCAGGGTTTCGAAGAAACTCAACAACATCCACGAGTTCCTTTTTGACCTCATCACACTGAAATTTTGGTTAATAAAACTGAGATCTACTCCTTGAACGTCACTAAAGTTAACGTCAGTGTTTTCAGCAAACGACCCTACATTCTGGTCCAAGAATTTCGGGAACGTACCTAGTGACCAAAATTCCAGTTATCGCGAGCAACAAATAACTTACCAAGCGTTTTTTTAAAAAGCATTATGGTACAGCAAGAAACCACTCCAAAAACAAGAGTCTTGAAAATCAGTGTCCTCCATATCTGCGCTCCAGTTGATGACTTTTCACTGTCAGCTGACGATTGAAAGCCTCTACGATAGGCATCTACTAGTCGAAGTTGTGCTGATGGTGTTTGATCCTTTAAAATTTCATCCAGATCTGAACCCACTGTTGATGAATCTGAATTACGCTGCCTAGCTTCTTTTGTGTCAAAAATAAATGAACTAGGACGGTTAGTTTTTCTAGATTTTGTAACAAATATCCGAGCGTGGCTGTTAGGTATTCTGATATATGAAGGACACAAAGCAGCCAAGCGAGAGTGAAACGTTCCTCGGTTGCTCCCACAGCAACTTCTAATAATCCGACAACACGGACTGACAATCATAAAAACAAGCTTGGTAATGAAACAAAATTCCCACCTATGACCTTTGTGGTCATAAACTTCCAATATATCCAATATCCAATATCTCCCATATATCTCAAAAATCTCTATCACCAGCTTGTATAGATTGGCTGAATTCCTTGCGCTCGACTCTTACTGTTTGTAGACGGCTTCAAATATTTGGTAGTGTCTAGTAGGTGGTATTCTAGCCACTCGACTGCACCGATCCCAGTCAGTTTGGTAATTATTTGTAGATTTGTATATATTGTGGTTTAATTGGGTGATGAAGCACTTAGACGGTTCATATACTTTATGTGAGGTTTTAGTGAAATAAATGTGGCCATAATTATTACCTCATAATGTAAGACAGATCCTCAGTTTATCAGGTAAATCAATAATCCTCGAGGACCTGCCTAGCATGGCACCTAAAGTAATGGAAATCTACCCGGATGGCTGCAGTGTAAACACCGTGCAAGCACATGGCAGAGTGGATACCGGTGGCATGACCACACGTCAGTAGCAGTTAACTGATTTGTCAAATAACCTGGCAGTACTACAAGCAATCATATCAACTATCCACGCCAAGTGAACTAGATCGGTGTCGAGTAGAGAATAGTTTTCGAGACAACATCCAAAATAACTTATATAAACTCCAGGAATCTGTTGGTAACACCAAAAACGAGACACAGAGGCATGGTGATGCACATGACCTTGCACATTTACAACACTCGATAGTAAAAATCATGGAAACGGGCCGACGAGACAGTAATGGCGATGACTGTTTCCGGTCAAGCGACGAGACGTCTCTTTCACATCAGGAACCAAAGTTCTGACTCAAACTTTTATTCGAAGCAGAAATCAGCATCACCCACCTGAGTTATCACGACCGCGACACACTTCAAGTAGCAAAGTGTCACTACAGGCAGCCGACGAAAGTTATCAACTACATGTTCACCAATCTCTAGTAAGTCACGTAGACTGTCTTCGGACAAACTAAATATTGCAAAGAAGAAAGTCAAACACATGATGGAACTAGGTATCACGGAGCAATCTAGAAGTCCATGGGCTTCGTCTTCACACAAGGTTCCCAAAAAGGATCAGGACTGGCTTCCATGTGGGAATTATAGTCGTTTAAATAACCAGACTGCTCCAAATAAGTATCATATTCGTCATTTACGTGATCTTTCACTGAACTTACACGGAAAACAGATATTTTGAGGCTTGGCCTAGTAAGATCATACCATCCAATTCCGACAGCGCCAGAGGATACTGAAAAAACAGCCATAATCACACCCTTTGGTTTGTTTGAATTCTTGAGGATGCCGTTCGGGTTTAAAAAATGCCTCTCAAACATTTCAGCGATTAATGGACGGGGTCATAAGAAAATCAGACTTTGTATTTGTTTATAGCGACGACGTTTCGATCGCCAGCTCATCTACAGAAAAACATGCACAGCATTTACACATTCTTACACACCACTTCAAAAGTTATAGTGTTGTTACTAACCCTCCAAAGTGCATACTCGGCGTTCCAGCTCTGGGGTTTCTGGGACACTATGTCAACTATCAGGGTATCAAACCACTCCAAGAAAAGGGCGAAGCTATTAATAATCATCCAGAACCAAATTCATTAAAATATCCGCGTCGATTTTTTGGCCCTCGCAATTTCTATAGTCGCTTCTTATCCGATTGTGAAGCAACACTACAACCTCTAACAGATTTTCAGAAGCTGGATAGAAAAGAAACGAAGTCGAAAGAGAAGAACCTCTCACTTTATCGCCTGACGCAAAGGCTGCTTTTGTTAACGCAAAGTCTACGATAACAAATGCTACTGTGTTACAACATTTAAACTCTGACCTTACGGCACACCTAATTCTCTGCACCGATGTATCTCAAAACGTTGTAGGGGCAGTACAACAACAACGAGCGAATGACATTGTTACTGCTACAGCATTTTTCTCTACATGTCTATCACCAGCTCGAAAACGTCCTAGCACTTTCGAACGTAAATTGCTAGCTTTTGATTTAGCGTGAAGACGGCACAGGTATTCAGTTTTTGACAACGCTTTTACCAGTAACAGCTTCTAATATAACTCGTACCCACCAAGAGAAATCAAAAAACAGAATCAAGGAGATCAGATGTTGTTGCCAATATATCGGAGTTGTCTGATCTAGTCTGGTTAGCGATTGCAATAGATGTTGAGCACGGCGTTCCCGCACGTGATCTGGTGCGGATGCTTGACCGAGCGCCTTCAGCTAGGTGAGTCCACTAAAACTAATCTGGTCAACATCCAATGTCCAAAACTTACAGAGCTATTTATTTTGGGGATTTATTTACCGCTACAAGCGGTAAAACATTTCGCTTTCTGTAAGATTCATTTTGGGTGTTTTGTGTGCTTGTGAAAATCCCTCCATGTATATACTTGCACTTTGTTCCTATTGATCCCCTTAGTTGTACATTGTTGTCTTTTGATTACATTTGAATTGTTAATACTTGTATTTTTATTATAGCTTTTGTTTTTCTTACGCATTCACTAAGTTTGTGTTTCTTCCCGAACTGCATCTGTGTTGTTTTACTTGACACTTGTTCTTGTCGGCAGCCATATTGATTTGCTCCTCCTTTTGTGTGTTCCATCCAGTCAGGATAGAATAACGTTCATTCGTTATGACTGGTAATTTTCCCTCATCTTTCACCAACTACTTTATTTATTGTAATTTAGATTTTATTGATTGAACAATTATTGGTTGAATAGCCGGGTGGTAATATTTGTTTAGGTAACGATTTACATTTAAATTTATGATGAATTATAGGACCGCTGTTTACCCGATTACTTGTTTTGATTTCGACGGGAAAGGGCGCGTGTCTAACGTACCTGGAAGGCTATTCATCAGTCCAAACCGTAGTTTGGATCTTACACTTTCCCATTACAGGGAAGTGAATCTACGATAGTAATCGACCATAAACCCTTATGTTATTCCTTTAACACGTCATATGGTCGATATTCCCCATGAGAAGCAAGACAACTGGATTATATCTCACAATTTACAACTGACGTACAGTTCATCAAAGGGCACTCCACTATCATAACCGATGCTCCATCTCGAAAGGATATCAATACGCTGGTACAAAAACAAGATATCAACCTAGAAACTACAGTCAAATCACCAGTAGACGGTGCAGATCTGAAATCCTACAGAGAAGACTAACTCTTTACCAATTTCTTTTTTAGATTTTTCTATTATCCTCGATGTTTCAACTGGTAACAATCGTCCTTTTGTTCCTAAGGCTTGTCGACGACGGATCTTTCAACAATTACACGACCTTTCTCATCCTGAGATTCAAGCTACAGCGAAACTCATCACAGAACATTTCGTCTAACTCGGATATAAAAAGATGAGCACGAAACTCCGTTTAATGCCAACGTAGTAAGGTCCAACGATACACAGTCAGTCCTCTGTAGAGGACCTGGTAGACGCTTTCAACACGTATATCTAGATATCCTCGACCCTCTCCCACTATTAAACTCCTTCACACATGTCCTTTCTGTCGTGGATGAGTTTACTAGATAAACGATAGCATGCCCTAATAAAGATACATCAGCAGAGACAGTAGCATCGGTATCCCTTGACTGCTAGATATCGAACCATGGAGTCCCATCAATTATTACTACAGACAGTGGTCCTTAGTTTCAATCGTCCTGCCTCAGGAGTTTGTAGTGCTATTGGTTTCTAATCACCCGGTCTTAAAAGCTGAACATATAATTACTGAGGAGGTTCACTAGTAACAATGTAACACCGAGAGAGGACCAACAATGGTTAACGCGCAAAAATTCACTCAATCTCTCAGGTGTGGTCGTTTTTGTGTAACCCATACCTTCTCGCGTTAAATATATTATTTTATCCCCGGCCAAAATGTGTTTTTCCCGAGTGCTAAGTATCATATCGTTAATTATCACAATACGATGAGTCAGTGTAGACAATAATGTGACTTCCACTTAAGATCTTATAGATTAGGCAGTTACATCATGAAATATCTACAATTTCGGGATTAGATCTATTATGTGAGTAGCACTAATATCCGAGCGACACCGTAATTCTACACGTTTACCAGACTTTCAGGAGTGAAATACACTAAAACAACAGCCTACCATCCAACAGCGAGTGGTTTGGTCGAGATATTTAACCGCCAACTAAAGAGCTCGCTAATGCCACAGGCTGATATGTCAGAATGAAGTGATGCTCTACCATTCGTACTCCCTGGAATTCACTCAACCGTCAAAGAAGTTATAGGTTGAACATCTATGGTACGATCCGAGTCTTACCAGGACAATTGGTCAACTCTGATGAAGAAAAATCAAGTGATCCATCACGTTTCGCAAGCCGTTTATTACAGACTATGAAGCGGATTAAAAAGGAACTCCAACGTGAACGTAGACGCCAGGTTCAGCTTGGCAAACATCTGCAAATGTGTAAATTTGTCTTTGTCCGAGTCGACACCGTTAAAAAGCCGTTAATTCAACCGTACGAAGGACCTTGTCGAGTAGTTAAACGAACAGCTAAACACTTCATCATTAAAAAAACGAAAAGAAGGTAACTGTCTACACGGAGAAAACTAAACCTGTCTTCTATGATGACCAACAAGGTAAAAAAGATACTGCCATAGATAAACAACCTCCACCATTAAATACTATGAAATGAGAGGACGATGAATAACTGAGCAATAATTATAAATATTTAAGGCGTTCAGACAGAAGTGTAAAGCCCATACGTTATGTTCATTCTGCGGGCCAAAAAAATAAATGAACACAATGAAATAAACAGTTCAATTTTTTGTGAGCTTACTAATCGTTGTGTATTTCGGTGTTATTAGCAACCTAAGACACCTTTATTGTTTGCATTTGCATTTCCATTACGTTTATCTACATTCACATAACTCTGTACACTACCACATTGTAAATTACTAACATGCATTTCATATTCTATGCTATCTATTGCCAAAAATTG